GAGCCGGGACTACTGGACAGACCGACATTTGACTCCCGGATTGAGGTACAAGCTGAATACATGACTGACTTAGTGATTCCGTAGAGCTGGCCAGTGGAGTCTGGCTGCCCCGGCGCATGGCCTTTAGACCTGGATGTCCAAAAAAACCCGTCCCGGTTAGTCTGTTTAGCACAGTCCCCGGATCGTTGTTTGGTCGTTTGGACGCTTCCCTCGGACTGATGCCTACAGGAGCAATATTTGTGCCATTCACTGCCAGTGGCGGAGATCCTCTTACTTGACCAACCGGGATTTGAGTCAAACCCTTGCTACTTTGAGAAGCCTGAAGTGACGAGGACGAGTTGCCGAGGTGCTGGCTGGTGTTGAAACCTTGTCCACTAGGGAGAGAGTGATACGGAATAGAGGTGGTTGATGTTTCAGCCAATGGATAATTGCAATTAACCGGATGAAGCTTCAAGTTAACCTTTGAAATGCCTGATACAGGAGTAGAGGTTATTAATTTAGCTTGTGGGCTGATCAAGAGATTCACAGTTTCGGCATCAGATTCAGGCAGCAGTGGCGGAAGATTGTCATGAGAACTGGGTGTGGAAGTAAAATGAGGCTCGGATGTGGCGACTACTTCAAAGGGGCCTCCTAAAGGATATCCATTCAGACAAACTTTCACGGAGAGTCGACAGGCCTCGGGAGACCGATATGTAACTCTATAGCCACCAGATTTTATAGGTGATACGTAAGCAGGTAGACTGCTACCTGGTCGGGAGCCAGAGAGTGTAGTAATATAGACTGAAGGTTTGATGAGATGCTCTTCCTCAGGACTTGTTGGGACAATATCAAAATTTTCATCTTGGTTAACAGAAATTGCTGAACGAATTTCGCAGGTTCCAAGAGGCATATTGGGTTGGAATGATGAGCAGCAATGAGGTAGAAGAGACAACGTTAATATGAGATGGTGGCGAAGCAAGTCAAGTGTGCTATCGAAATAAGAATCTGCAGAAAAAAAACCTTCTCTCATGTTGACGGTAAACATCAGGTTAACTGAAATTCTTCTGATCAAGCTGGTGCTCCATCCTCACATTTTACCCAACTTCGCTTCGCCCAGCTCCCAAAACTCGTAATAGCTACCTTACATAAATGTTGGTGAGATTAGGTTGAAGTCTAAACTAAAATTCATCCTCGATACCATTCAATCTAGTTTGACGGTACAAATAGGCATTACCCTGACCTTAACTCTAGAAGCTAAACTACAAGTTATCAGGAAAGCAGAATGACCAACGATATCCAGTGGTCTAAAAACTGTTTTTTTCCTACAACCATATGAATAGGCTTATTCATGTCAATGCAGGAAAAACTCCAATATTTGTCCTGAAACTAGCTAGTGAAACAAAGTAAATATTAAAAAATTACTGATAGCCTCGAAACATACTTCGATAATAAAATTTTCAATAGACTTTTTGGTCCTAAGAAATCTCCATAATAAAGCTACATCTGAAGACTTCGCACTAAAGAATAAGCGAAAAAAAGTTGGATTTCAAGAAATTTATTGGTTTATTATTGTTGAGCTTACTTCTATTCCAAAGAAAAGTGTTTAGTTAAGTGATTCGAAGATCAATCACCCCACAATACGATGGCTGATTCCTTTTGACCAATTGTCGATTAACTTTACTGGTACATACTTGTTAGCACTGTTTCCGAGCCAATCTCATTCGATTCCAGCGAAAAATTGTTAAGCTTTCGTAAATAGTATGACGGACTAAATCAGAGCAAAGTTTTATGTTTACAACCATACTCAAGGCAATGAGTCAACCAAATTCCTATGGTGGGATTGACCTTCGGATCTCTTTCCAAAACACTCACTCGAAATGGAAGCAAGCTCCACATTTATGAATCTAGAGATTTCTCAAAACCCAAATTATTATCAATTTTCTTCAAGCTATATGAAAACAAAGAAATTGATGAGATTTTTTTGACTACAGCTTGAATATGGTTCTGAGGATGCCCAACATGACGAAAGAAAACTTAGCGTATATAGAAAAACTGTGTTTCGAAGAATCCCTTTTTAGATTCATGTTGGAGTAACTTTCATTTTGTTTAAAGAGGCGAGTGAAAGGGACTCGTAAGTTGGTATTAGCGGAGGCCTTGGGGAGTTGCCTTGGAGCTATGGTTGTAGATTTGTGCAAATAGGTTCCTGGCGCACCGCCCAGCGACACTGATCAATCCTTGCTGAGCCT